GACGAGCATACAGCGGACGAGGGCCGGAAGGAGGGGTGCCTGAGACCCCGGGAGACTCCATGGGAGGAGGTTGCGGAGGAGAACTGGAGGCTGAGACCACGGGAGCAGCCCGGAGACCAGTGGCAAGGGTAGGCGGATTTGCTGTTTCCCTTCCCCTGCATTTGGGACTGCTGGTGGGTCCCCAGCGGGTGGAGAGACCTGCGGACACCAGCCAGAGACCGCCGCCGCCAGCCAGCGGTGAGCCTGTAGCAGACACGGCACCAGGTTCCCAACTTCCTCCAGACACCTCCATGTACACAGACCTGAGCCGCGCAGCAGGCGCCATATTGCCTCCTCCTCCCCTCCGCCGACCCTACCCGCGGCAGCCCACAGAGACAATACAGCCACCAGCCAGAGGCACCTCCACGGAACGGGACCTTCCCTTTTGGGACCCTACAGCTGACTCAGGGAACTCAGACTGTGAGCTCCCTACCCACCTGCCCTCCCAGGTGCTGCTGGCACAGTGTTCCCAGAGAACAGTGCCGACTCAGAGGCTGAGAGACATAGACCCAGCTTGGGCTCCCTGTGGGTGAATTGGGACCGGAAATCCTCTCCTGGTGGGATACAGTATTGAACTCTGGGACCCAGAGGTCGGACTGCAGGCCAGATCCCTGCACCGAGGCTAGCATTGCCCGGCACGGAAGGGTTATACGTGACGCCTACTGAGTGTGTGTGCCTCCAGGGGCGGATCGGCGTCCTAGAGGCACCCTCCTCCCAGGAGGAGGCGTGCGCCCAACCCAGGTGGCGTTCCTGTGCAGGGAAACCTCCCCCGGGATCACAGTCCGAGGAGGCCTGGTGGCTTGTGGTCTGGCCTGATGGCAGAGGCCCAGGAGTAGCTGCGGACTTGGGGAGGGTGGAAAGAAGTGAGGCCCGTTCCAGACTGCGGGTCTCAGACAGCCCCACCCCCACACCCAGACTTTCTGGCTGAGCTGGACCATTCCAGCCCCTCCCTGACAGCTTTTCCTGGAAGCAGAGAAGGGAACTTTGACCCCTGCTAACGGCCTGCGGGCAGGCTTACCCAACTCAGCTCCGCCCAGAACAAGAGCTGATAACAGGACACAAAGTCAACAGCATAGCCTGTTCCTCCAAGCAAACGCCACCTTACGACAGGGACGGCATCTTGCACAGCCTTTCCACGGCACCCCACTGACTCAATATACAAGGAGTGGTCATTTCCCCCACAGACACCACCTAACGCCTCAGAAACTAAACAAGGTGTGTGAATACCCAAACAATAACTTAAGGAAAGAAACAACAACTCATCGACATGGGAAGAAATCAGCGAAAGAACTCAGGAAATATGAAGAACCAACGGGAACACACAACAAAGAGGAGCACCAGCCCCTAGAAACGGACACCAACCAAAATCAGGCAACCAATGCATGAAGAGGAATTTCTTGTGGATCATAAGAATACTCACCAGCTGCAACAACAACTCAATAACCAACACAAAGAAACCACAAAAAGCCTCCAGAATATGGAAAAAGAAATAGACACCAATGAAAAAAAGTGTAACCAATCCTGGAAATGAAGAATCAATTCAAGGAACTACAAATACAGTGGAAAGTCTCAAGAAACAGGAGATATTGGCATGTGCATGCTGTTCTATCTAGTTCTAACTAGTTCTACTAGCAAGTGCATGCTGTTCTAACTAGTTCTACTGGCATGTGCATGCTGTTCTAACTAGTTCTATTAGCATGTTCATGCCACCACCCTCACCCCACGGTAGGACAGCCCCGGACAGTGCCCTTCCATGGAGTTCAAAGTAGCAGGCTGGCGGGTCGCAGGGTGAGGAGAACCTGAAGGGGACGCGGTGGGAGACGGAAACGGAACAGAGCCCACCTGCTGAGCGGGCCTCCTCGCAGCGAGGCCAGAGCTGAGGCCCTCGGGCTGGAGGAGCAGGACCTTCTCCTCTTGGGCCTCTACGGGCCGGACGGGCTTGAACAGCACAACTGAGGCTCGGCCACTCTGGTCTGGTCCCGCATCCTGATACTAGGAGATCCCAGTGCTGCTTGGCCTCGTGGCTCCTTCCTTCCAGTTCCCGGAGGTGAACATCCCGCACTGATCGGCGTTGCCATGTGTCTCCCTTCAACTCTATTTTGCTTTGAGTTTTGGCTCATTTGTGTATGTGCATCGTCATGACTTGCCTAAATTCTGCCTTCCTGTTTCACGATTCTTCCTCTGCAGACCCAACCCGCTCACATCTGCAGCAGCCACCTTTCCTCAGACACCCCATGAACAGGCTCGACAAGCGATCTCCGTCTAACTGTGGGACGAGCTCCCTGTTCCAACTCAGGCTGAACACCCCTAAATCTGCTTTGACTTTGGAGGCACGGGTGCTCACGTGGAAAGAAAAGCAAGGTTAGAAGCCCTCATGGGCCCTGCTTTTGTTTCTCTTTCCACACCTGCCCGCGGCCTTTGTGCCAGCCTGCTGGCTGCCTTGATGCCCCCAGGAGAGGCCGTCCCCAGCCAGGGAGGCCTGAATGTCCGGGAGCCCTCACTTTGCCCCTGGCTTTGACTGGCCTTGGAAGAGGGTGGCGAAGAGATACATACGTTTGGGGAAGAGAAGACTTCAGGCGGTCTAGTGCAATGAGTCAGAGCTCCGTAGGACTCGGGTGGCCCTGGGTTCGATTTCTGGTTCGTCTCTCTCTGACTAGCTCCATGAGTTGGGGCAACCGTTTGCCTCAATTTCTCCTGGTGATACCTGCCTGCTACAGAGTCAGCACAGGGGGCAGTTAGAAGCTGCACTCCGGTGCGGTATTGCCTGGACTTGAACCTCGGCTTGTCATTTAGTAGCTGTAAGACCTTGAACACGTTTCTTAACCACTCTGTGTCCTGGCTTCTGGAACTGTCAAATTAGGGGAATAACAGTAGCTGCCAGGTGTGAAACAGTGTTTCTCATTTGAGGCTACAGAATATCTATGTAAGTACATTCTCCAAGAAGACCAAAATCAAATCAAGAAGAATGAGGTGATCCTGAGCTCTCAACATTGCAGTCTGAAAAACACTGTAATGCAGGATGTTGATGACATTTTATAAGCCCTTTGTGTATGTGTGTGTGTGTGTGTGTGTGTGTGTGTTTATAATTAAAGAAATGTTGAATTGTAGACAACAGAAAATATAGTATTGATAGGTGCTTTATTTTCTCCCAAGAAATGCATTTAATCAAAAAATCAAAAAATCAAAAGAGGAAAATGAAAGAGGGAGCAGGTGTGCTGGGAGCGGACCCCCAAAGCAGCAGGCTGAGGCGAGAGTCCGGACGGGCGGGGGCTCCGGGCAGTGGTGGGGAGGCCAGGCTGACACACTGGTGGGAGGGACCAGAGTCCAATGTCGTCTTCTTCTGTTTGTCAAACTCAATGCAAAACTTTGTCAAATGAAACATTGGAAACTTTAAGAGTCCATGTAATCAGACAGTGAAAATGGGTCTGAGTGAGAGCTTGAGTCTGGAGGAAACATGGTCAGTAGGGGGTGGCATTAGGGAAAGAAGCCCTCGGAAGCATGCACGCCTCCCTGTGTTGATATCAGGAATAACTTCACTTACGTGTTGCCGTATAATTTTAGGTCATCTGTAACAGGCAAGTGCAAGGGAAAGAAAAATTAACCCGATAAACTTTACTTTTCATTGTGAACAGCCAGAGAATGTCTGCATTTGAGTAAAGGCTGTGTTAAGAATAAATTGCTCATAATTAAGTAAAATGCTTGATGAAGTTGATTGAATGGCATTAGATTAATAGGAATCATTCGAGATTTTGATATGAGACCAAAATGAAAAAAGTCTGTGCAAAAGATGTGAGTAAAAAAAAGTCTGTCAAGGCAAATGTATAAAAGAAGACATCCGTATATCATCCTTTAAATGCTTTTCCTGAGTATTCTATGAATTTAAGCGTGGGGATCTTTGAATGTTGTTAATTTGAGACAATAAATCATATAAAGGAACCCTTTAAAAGTAAAAGGACCCCATTCTCCTCAATAGCTAGTTTTTAAACAGAGACATTCACTATGTGGATTCACTGTCTCTTGTCAGGCTGAAGCTGCACCCGTTTCCCACGCAGCTTGCGGCCTCTCGCGGAAGGCTGCTTTTCTTATAGTGTAAAATGATCAAAATATTAATACATTCCATGGTTTTCTTAATTCAAGTCACATGTTGAGATTTGAGGTTTAAATTCCCATTCCCTTATTTTCTAGGAAAGTTTAGCATTAAACAACAGGTGTATATTAACAAAATAATGCTATATGATTTAGAACTATTCTCAAAGAAACTTTCCTCCCTAATGAACAAGGATGTGAATGCCAAGTATATAGGGTACCGTATGTGAAGAAGCTTGAGTTTGCCCCACGAGCATTGAGGGTGATTTTTACATATATGTTCACACTCGTTTGTAAGGAGATGTTCATTTTCTTGGAAAAGATTCAACCAAGCACAAAACTAAAATCCAGAGCAGGGAGAAGGGGAGAATTTAGGTGTTCTTAGTGGAAATATTGGCATCAGGAAACCCTTCTCTTAATCACTGGAGTTGGTGGAGTTGAAAAACTTTTTTTTCTGTGAAACAAAAACAAAAAAAAGTCATGTTTAGAGAAATGCCCACAAGAAACTGTGGCTTTCCCTGGAGATAGCCAACAAGGACCATTATGCACACTGGCTTCCAGTTTAATTTACTGAGCTTCTGGAATGAGCCACGCCTGCTCTATATGATAAGTAATTATAGTGAAAAGCAGGCATTTGTCTTAGGAACTCCTCATAAATTCAAAATGATGCCCGCTTTGCCCACCCCAGGAAGGGAAACCTTTCAGTACAAAGTGCACTCTGAAAGCCTTTGGCACACCTCACTCACTTCTGTAATATTTTCACTATTGTTTGTATCCATTTGCTTTGAGGGTTCACGCAGATAACGGACTTATTCTTCATCCGGAGTCTGGGGAGAAGAGGAAAAAAATAAAAATCGTGTTACAATTTAGTTAATCTTGTAAGTTTTAATAAACTTGGGCAGGAGAATAATTATTCCTAGATGAAGTGAAATCGGAGCAGGCAGTTTTGTATTTGGAAGAGGTGGTTGGTAGCCTGGGGTCTGAGGCGTAGGAAGCCGTTTGTGGAGAAGCGTGCGGAGCTGCAGCCAACGCTGAGACGGCGCCACAGGCCAGAGGTTAGCGTTTTGCGGGCAACATTTACATGAGTTGGAGAAGCACCAAGTAGCCGACTAAAGGTTGGCTCACTTCTTAAATTGTATCACAGTATCTTTAAATTGTGCTTGTCCATTCTGCTTAGGAGAACAAAATAGGCTACAGAAAACTCTCTTGAGAACCTTTTATCTGAAAAAAATGCAAAGAAATGTAATGTGGTGGCTGCAGGTTGATTGCTCCGAGTGACATCTGCCTTTGGTTGAGCCACCAGTTAGCAAGGCTCTCCCTGCTCTCAGAAATTAAATCATCGGAAAGCAACAATGGTAAGTGGTAGCTAATATTTATCAAGTACTCACAACGTGCCAGGCATCGTGCTCAGCGGGTAACATGAATTATCTCAATTCATCTCACAAAAGTCCTGTGCTAGAGGAACTATGCTTGCCTCGCCTTTTGATGGGGAACTTGAGGCTTCAAGAGTTAAGATAACTTGTCCACGATTGCACACTAATACATGGTAGAGTAGGATTCAGATAAGGTCTATCTGACTCCAGAACCCACTCTTTTATCCACTGCTTTCTTTGAGCATGACCTGAACCATTACCAAGTGCCTGCCAGACTCTACTCTCTGCTGGCATGACCTCAAACAAAACACAGTTCCTTGATGTGCCATTTATCTTAGCTACAAAATGACAAGCAGCAAGGATCTATTGATCTAACTTTGAAACTCCACCTTTGCAAGTGAATCTCAGCTCGGAGGGCATGGAGCAGGTTCTTGGGCAGACCCTGTGGGTTTCTGAGCTCATGATGGAAAAACAGGTATCTGGACTCATGGTATTTTCACCCCTCACTGGTAGGAGTTTCTCATCATAATATGCAGCTTTCATTTCTATATTTGGTTAAAATCCAGAAATGCAGACTTTGATGAGAAGATATGCAATTGAATTTTCATCATTTCTCAAAATGATTGTAGTTAAAGCAGACAAAATTAGGATGCATTGTTTCACTTGGTTGCGAGGTGAGAGACTTGAGTCATAACAGAGGAGATCAAATCAAAAGAAAGGAGGTCCCAGTGTCCCTACAGCCAGAGAGCTGCTCCCCAACAGGGTCTTCATGTGCTCCGAGTTTGGGGTCGATCATTGTGGTTTTGTTACGGCTTTTATTGGTAAAGACATTAGTGAAAGTATAATGCCTTCTTTTTTTTTAATATTTCAATTTTATAAATCTTATATTCTTCACTTTTTCTTCTTTTTTTCCTAAATGTAAGAATGTGTTCTGTAATAATAATGCCTTCTTAGTGAAAAATTCCCACACATTTTTTACATCCCATATTTCTTGTTTACAAATGGAATTCAACTGGTCCAAGGCCCAAAGCACTGGTATCAAAATGGGACAAACAGAAAGTAACTGCTCAGAAACATCCCGAAAGTCTAAAACAGTTCATGGGAACAGCTACCAACGAGAGCCAAGCCAGGCTGCCTCGAGGAAGATGTCCTGCCTGGCGCTGACCAGTGTTGTGGGGAAGAAGCTTTGGGACGGGACCACGTGGAACACGGGCGGGGGCCTGGCCTGTGGGCTTCCTGATCCCTTTCTAATGGTTAACCGCCCTCCCTGGGCCTCAGTTTCTTTTCTTTTCTTTCTTTTTTTTTTTTTTTTTGAAGCAGAGTCTCACTCTGTTGCCCAGGCTAGAGTGTCGTGGTGTCAGCCTAGCTCACAGCAACCTCAAACTCCTGGGCTCCAGCAATCCTCCTGCCTCAGCCTCCCGAGTAGCTGGGACCATAGGCATGCACCACCATGCCCGGCTAATTCTTTTTTCTTTTTTTTTGTATATATATTTTTAGACGTCCAGCTAATTTCTTTCTATTTTTAGTAGAGTCTTGCTCTTGCTCAGGCTGGTCTTGAACTCCTGAGTTCAAACAAGCCTCCTGCCTCAGCCTCCCAGAGTGCTAGGATTACAGGCGTGAGCCCCCAAGCCGAGCTCAGCCTCAGTTTCTGTGCCTGGAAAGGACAACAATAGACAGACCTTAATAAAGCTGTCGAAAGAATAAAATGAGTGAGTGCAGGCCTGCAAAGCGTTTAACTCAAGCTGTTGCCAAAGTATGTACTTAAAGATTAATAACTGCCATTCTTACTTTGAGAGTTTTTAGCAACACTTAAGTGAATCTCTTTGAAAATATTCAAGTGCAAGTGCTTTTTTGAAAAAATAAAAAAGTATTTTCAATAAAATAAAAGTATTTTTTTAAAAAAGCAAATCTCTTTGAGATTTGTAAGAACACTGAAGGGTAGAATTTGGTCTTTATTGGAAGAAAGACATCGTATCTATTTTTTCCTTGCAACTTACATGATTTCCACCCTTGCACAGCCGTTCCCACGGGGGAAGACTTGAAGCTGATCGATGAATCGTGGGTGGACAAAATCCGAGCTCTCTTGGTTGCATTTACACTTCCAGTTTGTGTAGTAGGCCTCCAGAAGCCCTGTAAACACAGAATCAGCGATTTTCATCCCTGTGGCATATAACTCACAACAACCGGGACTTAATTATTCATCGTTCATCCTGCATTTGAAGATTTAAAAATTTCAACTCAGTTCTTCCACTCATATGCCTTTAGTTGGCAAATTTCTGTTTGTCTTGGCTTGAGGTTTTCAATGTTTTCTATCAAAACCTTAAAAACAAAATGACCTTTTTAAAAACACAACACGTACTGAAATTTGTGATATCGTTATATTGGTACTCAGGTGATTGTCCATATAATACAGTTTGAGAATAGCCTTTGTAGGGACTTAGAACTCAGTTATAATTAATGCAACGTAAGATCAACTGCTCGCCTTCACTCCCAACATGTACAGACCAAAGGCATGAGGTCAGGTGATCACAGGGTCCGGGGACAATGACACACTGTACCCAAATCTTCTGTCTTATCATACTCCCTCCTTCTCTCTGAGAAAAGGCCATGAAAGATGCTTTATTTTTTATTTCTGTTTAATATATTGGCCCTCCATCTCAGTTGCAAATTGTCACCAAACAAAAGCCAACAATAAAAATTCAAGACTGCTTTTATTCAACAACAAAAGTTATTAATACTACATGGGTGCCATTAGATTTCATTAGATTCCATTAAAATGTGAGAGATGGGTATGGACTAAGTGGATTTTTAAAGAAACATGTATTGAATCCTCTTTATCTAGAGTGCCTACTACCATGCTTGACAATATTTATAAATAAAAAAGCCCAACTCTCAAGGTGATTGCAATTTTGTGGGGAGGCAAGAGAACAAACACTGAAATACTACAGCAGGTTGTGTGACACCCTGCACTGCACCCTGTAACAGAGGCTTACTAAGAGCTAACTTTGCCAGGAGCAGTGAGAAGCTTCACGGAAGAGGAGAGAAATGAGGGTCTAGAAGAGTGAAAACATTGAAGCAAAATAAAAAGAGGAAAGAAACCTCTCTTTTTTTAAGGGTTTTTTTTAATTTTTTTTATTTTGGCATATTATGGGGGTACAGATTTTAAGGTTTCAATAAATGCTCATTCCCCCCTACCCCCACAAGTCTGAGTCTCCAGCATGACCATCCCCCAGACGGTGCACATCTCCCTCATTATATGTGTATATACCCGCCCCCTCCCCCTCACCTGCCCAATACCCTATTACTGTAGTACCTATGCGTCCACTTAGGTGCTGCTCAACCTCTCTGCATTTTAAGAACAAAATTTGTCCTCTAAACCTGAGCAGAGCATTACTTTCTGCACAATCAACCATTCCTTCAGCCATATAAAAGCTTAGCATTGTAACAGTGTTTATCTATTTGCACAAAGGCGGCTGCCCCAGTGGACTTGGAAGTCTGCTGTTTGCAGAACGTGTGTCCAAGAACCCGGGTGTCCTTACGGCGTCAACGTCAGATCTAACCACATGAAGTTCCATTAAGAATGTCCCCTGCAAGAGACTGGTTGAGGTCAGTTATCTCTAAATCCTATAAAGGGTTTAGTCAGAGGCGTAGCCTTGAGAGGAAGAACAAAGAAGAGATACATGTAAAAGAATTAGTTACAGCAGCAGCTGAATCTGAAAAAGGCCAGGAATATGCAAGCTAAATATATAAGTCACACGAACATTGACCTTCACTGTCTCCTCCTCCAGTGAATAAACATCTTAACCATGTAATACTTCCAGTTTCTAAGCACCTTATGTCTAGAAATCTAGAAGCAACTGAGAAGTTCTTTTCCCCGTTAGCCAGACTTCCTCCACAAATAATTTTTAAAAAATTGCCTGTAGACTTTCTATTCAAAGCACAGTGAAGACCGTTTGAGCAAGTTCTCACCCCGGGCTGGAGAGAGGTGGCTGCCTAGCAGCAGCAGCAGGAGCAGTGGCGCCCAGATGCTGCTCATCCTGCCGGAGGTGCAGCTCGCGCTTCAGCTCCGAGCCCAGCTGTGGGTCTGCAGTACCGGAGCGTCCTATTTATTTCCAGCGATAGGGGCCCTCCCACTGCCTTCGACTCCAGTAGGTCAGCTGCATCATCAGTTTTGAGAGCCCCCAAATATTGCTGAGCTTGCTTTTTTCTTTAACTTCTCTTGCAAACTTTATGAATTTGTTTCAGAGCACTGTAATAAAATAGTTCTTGAAAATGTAGACTCTAAGTGCCAGAGATGCAGGAGAAATTTGAAGGTAGGGAGAGAGGAAAAAGATGTCAGTTTGGAGGCTCACAGGCACTGTCTTTAGGATTGCTACGGGGGATTGTGGCTTTATTGCTCCTCTCAGCGAGGGGTCAGCCAAGTTTCTCTATGGCAGTTAAATGTATCTTCCATGGCATCAGGGACCCTGCTAGGGACGTCATATACCCAGCACCTGCAAGAGAGTCGAGCGGTGCTCAGCAAATACCTGCACACCTAATGAAAGTCTCCTTATATGCAGTGGCATAGCCCCTGTGCTGGCTGTGCTCCTGGCTTTCCTACCAGTCGTCTCCGCCTCTTACTCGCTCTCTGAAATGTGTGCTTCCCTGTGCAACCTGGCCGCCATGGGCTTCTTGCAAGGGGCCGTCTGTGTCCGTCCCCTCCCTGGCTGTCGGGCACAAGCTCACGAGCCTGAGAGTCACGTGCCAGTGGAGGGAGTCATCAGGGCTTTGTCAGATGCTGAGCCCCACGTTTCAATCTGTTCGATACAAGCACAGTGAAGTTTGGTTTTGATCTCACAAACAGAACATGAAGACAATTAACCCACAGCCTTAACTCACTTGCTACTAAGCTTTCCGATTAAAAATAAAAGTCTGTGGACAATGGCTAACCTGGCTTAAGGTATCACTGAACTGCCCCGTGAGAGGACAAACATGATGTATCAAACCAGATACAGTGGGGTTTTTTTTTTTTTTGAAACACTGAAAAATCAGAGGATTGGGCTTTCTGGTGTGGCTTCCTAAACAAGTTTGGTCTCTTTTGCTTAGCAATCAGCACCGAGACTATTTAGCACCCTAGCTGGGGTGGGGCGGTGAAGGCCCAGGACCGCCACGCCATAGATGGCTCTCCGCGGCCGGACGCAGACAGCCCGTCCGTTGTGAGAGCTGCTGTCCTAGTAGCTCAGTCATTTTGTCCTAGTTCAACCCCAGAGCACTACAGGAGACGATTCTGAACGCCCTCCCAGGCGATTGGTAGCGCTCCGCATGTTCGAAGAGCTGAATTTGTCAGCTGGGTTCTCTGCCAAGCAGATGCTGAGCTGGACTTTGGACTGAGAAGAGCTTGCTCAGAGTAACTCCTGCAATAGATGAGAGAGGGCAGGAGGCAGCATCGGGCTGGTGAGCCTCCGACTGCGATGCTGATCTGATGCAGTCTGTGACAAGAGGGCTCCAGAGAAAAGAAAAGACCATCTGTAGAAAAGAAAGCCCCAGACGATCAACGGCAGAAATGTCCAGAGCCTGCAGGGCCTGTGTTCCACCGCCAGCGGGGCTCCTCGGACATGGCTCGCCACTCCACTCCGCCGCTGGCCGGGCCTTGCTCGTGGGAGGTGTGAGCGGGCCTCTCTGCACTGGGGCCAGCACTCAGCACGGCCACACAGTCGATGGCTCTGGACGGGCCACTCAATTTCTCTATGCCTCATATTTGCCAGTTTTCACAGGAGGATAATACTGATTCAAAAGATTGGAGAATTTAAACACCTGGTATATGTAGAGCATTCAGCGGAGTGCCTGGCAAATAGCCAGTCTGTCTGTCTGTGTATCCATCCACCCCTCCACCCACCGTCAGATCTTACTAACGTCCTCTCCAAAACCCACATGTACACGCTTCAAAAGGAAACACCTCTATGTCTTTGACATCGTAACACAGTTTTAAGCTCCCTCACCATTTCTGTTTGCCTTTTTGAAGCCCATTGCTCTTTTCCATTGTTTCTCACGAGTCACAACTACCCTTCCGTTTGCTGCACCGCGACCCTCTGACCCCCTGCTCGCACACGCACACGCACACGCACACGCACACGCACACGCATGAACACTGCACCGCCCCAAGGGCAGCTTCGCCAGTGCGGAGAGGAGGAGGAAGCCCGTCACCTCGCCCCTGCGGGACACTGCTCTTCTCTCGATGCGCTCCTATACTGAATGGCACTGTTCAGGGCTCTTCTCTCGATGCGCTCCTATACTGAATGGCACTGTTCAGGGCTCCCATATTATGTTCGGAGGCAGTGACATTCCTGTTTCGTTTTCTTAATGGTCATTTTCTGACACTGTCTCATTCATTGCGCTCATGTCTGAAGACGCAAGTGCAGGTGTCTTACATGTGCCTCTGTAATAAACAGGGTGTGTCCCCTCGCTACAGCAAACATGAGTGACACTGACAGTAACTGGAACAGCGTAGAAATGCAGGTAACTCAAGGGGAGCTCTGAATACACCCAGGAAACTCTTAAGTTGGCTTTTATTAAGATAAGAGCACCAGGTCCAGGAGCTAACTCCAGAGAAATCCCAAAATCTGATTTTAGTCTCTTTGATGCCCAAAGTTCTGGATGTAGTTTATTCTGATCAAAGAAGTCTTCTACCTGCCTTCCCCAAGATGGGACTGGAGGTCGGGCAGCTCTCTGATAGCCCAGATGATTCTAGAAATTTCAAGTCAGAGACACTCCATGATATCATATATAGTAGGGGTATAAATTTCAAAAACTTTGAAGCCAAGAAGAAAAAATGTTTGAACCAATAGATTTAGGACCCAAATGGAAACAATTTATTTTTAAAACAGATTTTATAGGTACCTTTATTTGGAAACATAAACATGTGTGACTGGGTTTATATGAAACCTGATTTTTATGGTCAGATACATAAAAACTTGGGAAAATGAGAACATTATGGAGTAGGTTTTTTTCCTTGACTTTGGAATCAAAGCAGGTTTTCTCTCCCAACCCAAGAACAGATCGGTAGTTTGGTTCCAAGCTCAAATTATGTTCCAACCACTGGCATCTTCGGCTTGCCCTGAAAGCCAGATAAAAATGCAGAATCTCAGGTCCCCGGGTGTCTGAGTGCACCTTACGGTCTGAGAAGCAGGGGCCTGGCCCGGAGCGAGGAGCGGGCTTTGCTGTGACCTGCTCCTTCTGGACGAGCACCGGCACATTCGGGTGATCTTCGTAGACATGCCATAGACAAGCCTCGTCCTCAGAACACCAGGCACAGATGCATCAGGGAAAGAGGACAGGACACGTGCTCAATGAGACCTCAATGCAGAGTGATGACAATGAGAAGAAATCTCTCTCTCAAGATATCTGAAAGTGAAATGTCGCTAAAATAGTGAGATGGCATCACTGGCCAAAGTATCTGACAATTTAGGCAGTCCACAGGCATGGAACAGAGGGGTCAATGGTAGAGTTTTAACGCATTTACTGCCATGTGAGTTGCATTTAACCCACCCTAGTTTTGAGCCTGGGTGTTGTGAAATGTATCTATATAGCTCACGCGCCTCTTTCCCTCAGGAGCCACAAGAACTATGTTTCCAAGCTGCATATAATTCACGCACAGAAAACAGTAAAAAATGACAAATTTTTATTGAATTCATAAGGATGTTTTGTTTTCGAAGTTTTTATTCTATTTTTGTAATAAAACATTGTGGCCCCAAGGAAAAACTTTCCTTCCCGCAGGCTCTGAGATCAGACTGTCTGGGTCTGTAGTCTGGTTCCAGGACTGATTTGCCTTGTTCACTTCCCCAAGCCACAGTTCCTCTTGTGACAATGACAAAAGGGTATCAGTGACACCACCTCAGAGTTGTGTAGGTCACATATAGTGCTTAGAAAGTGCTGTGATCAGTCTCTGAGCAAAGACCACACACTCCACAAATGTTAGCTATTTTTTTCCTTTGTGAAAACACAAAAATTTAAAGTACAAGAAGAAGCAATTTGGCCTAGTTTGTGAGTCAAGCTCCTGACATGAGTTAAAATGTCATTTAGGTTTCCATTGAACACATGCATGAATTTTTTTTTTTTTTTTTTGAGACAGAGTCTCTCTCTGTGCTTGGCTAGAGTGCCGTGGCGTCAGCCTAGCTCACAGCAACCTCAAACTCCTGGGCTCCAGCGATCCTCCTGCCTCAGCCTCCCAAGTAGCTGGGACTACAGGCATGCACCACCATGCCCGGCTAATTTTTTCTATATATTTTCAGTTGGCCAATTAATTTCTTTCTATTTTTAGTAGAGAAGAGTCTCTAGTCTTTAGTGGAGTCTCGCTATCAGTTAGGCTGGTTTCGAACTCCTGACCTTGAGCAATCCCTCGGCCTCCCAGACTGCTAGAATTATAGGTGTGAGCCACCTCGCCCAGCCATGAATCCTTGAATTTATGATTCCAGAGGTTCTATTGTCAAAAAGCTATACCTCTTTGAGACTCATCAACCATACTTTTTCTCCACTTTCCCCAGAAGATTCCTGTGAAGGTTTGTGTCTGTTACAATTGCACTGTAGTTTTACAAAGTAGGTGTTTTATTATTTGTCCATAATCTTCTTTTTTATTTTACTCATTTTAATTTAATTTTATTTATTTATTAGTTGGTTTTTTTTGTTTTTGTTTTGTTTTTGAGACAGAGTCTCACTCTGTTGCCCGGGCTAGAGTGCCATGGTGTCAGCCTAGCTCACAGCAACCTCAAACTCCTGGGCTCAAGTGATCCTCCTGCCTCAGCCTCCCGAGTAGCTGGGACTACAGGCATGCACCACCATGCCTGGCCAATTTTTTCTATGTATTTTTAGTTTCTTTCTATTTTTAGTAGAGACGAATCTTGCTCTTGCTCAGGCTGGTCTCAAACTCCTGAGCTCAAATCATCCACCTGCTTCGGCCTCCCAGATGCTGGGATTACAGGCATGAGCCACCACGCCCGGCCTGTGTACTCATTTTTAAAACAGCTAATATATCAAGGTATGATCTATACAAAGGACTGCACCCATTCAATGTGTGCAGGCAGGTGAGTCTGG